TGGTTATAATTGTCTGTTTATATATACTATGTGGTTTATAGGTTTTAAAGAATGTAATTACATGTTATATTGTATATTGTACGCCAGTAAGTGTCAGATATGAATTTCTGTGTTATTTGATCATGTGCCTCTTTCATTTTTCACAGCATGCAGGGGTTAAACAAGAAAACGGACCGTTATAGACAACTCTCACAAAGCCTGTCCAACAGAACAAACGCTCTCCTCTTTTGTTGCAGGCCTCTCTGTGTTCAGCTGAGCTCCTCCCAAGAAAAAAAAGCAACAAGGGAGAGAGAAAGAGAGGCGCGAGAGGGAGAGAAAGAAGGGGGAGCTCTACTCAGCACCCCAAAAGACATTTTCATGGATGTCCACTTCCAGAGAAACCCACCCCAAACTTCTGGACCTCCATTTTCTCACTCTCCACACCGAGGACAATCTGGATTCTCACTCGATCATGTCTTCTCCCAAGAGCCTCAACTCCCATTTCCTGTTTTTAAACAGAAAGCCCCTCGGTCAGAGGATCCTATTCAACAGCATTCATCTCGCAGGGCCTGGAAATCAACTGAGTGTTGTTACGCAGTTTCACAACAGACGCTCCACCCTGACAGCTCACATGCCCTCCATTCTGGCTCAAGATTTTGGGGATGGAAGAAACTTGACAGCGGGGGGGGTGTGAGTGAATGATGGAGACTACATCTAAGGGGGTCAGAGACAGGGACACGGCCCTTGGGTCAGTTTGACGCTGCTCTCCACTGGTAAACAAAACAAAGAGTGCAGGCTCTCATTTAAGAGCTCGGGCCCTCTGGGTGCGAAGTACACGCCACTTAAACAGCACTTCATGAAAATCCCCTGAAACATGTGCAGGTTCACATTCACTGCATGGTTTTGGAGATATGACACCTCTCAAGACGTGTTGGGTAGCCATAAATATTAAGGGAGTTAAAGGGACAGTGTACGCAAACATTGCACCTCATATATAACACCGACTTTCCTACGTGAGAAAAATAATTGTAATTTTTTTGAGGGAATTGTGATGAATGACTTGGCTTTTTCTTCTGCAGATTTTGAAAAACTGTGCTTTTGTTAATACATAAATATATAATGGTGTCACATTTACAAAAGGTTGTTTCAGAGCTATTTAAATACAGTTTGGCTGTGTTCACACTTGGAGTGAGGATTAGGCCTTGTATACACTTGTAGTGAGGTTAATTGGGTTTCGTACTTTTGATATATTTAAATGAAATGGCTTTTACTTTTTAACAGAATCTACAGATACATTCAAAATGGTGTGTTAGGATCAAATAATAAAAATTATGATTATTATTTATTTTTATATAGCGCCCTAAAATTTTATTCTTTAAGTGCTAGACACAAAAATGATACCCAAGTAAAAACAATTTTAAGTAACAATGAAAATAAAACATTAAAAATAGAGAAAACATTCAAAATGCATTATTAATTATTAATGCATTATTAATTATAATATATATATATAAAATATAATATGAATAGAATTTCACCCGATGATTTGAATCTCTCTATTTGGAAAGATTTCATTATACGAGATCGACTGGGATGAAGTTTTTTTTCTATGCATTGCATCTGCATAAAATATAATAAATGACAAGCATATTGAAATTTGACAGCAAAAAATAAATAAATAAATAAAATAAAATAAAACATTCATGAAATAAACAATGCTTTTTTATATTTGTGCGGGGAGTTTGACAGTACAGTTCAAGTACAGAAGTTGAACAATCAAATATAAAATAACATGTCCATCATCATTTGAATAATTTTAACAATAATACCTAATATCTTTATCTTTTAATTTTTAATAGACAATCTAATCCTGCGACGTGACTCTTCCGGCAGCACACATTGCGATATCAATCCTCAAACGATATATTGCTTAGCCCTACAAAATAATACACACCTCACGAATGGGCAAGTCTAGTGCATTCTTCAAAAATGCACTCATATGTGTGTGTACATGAGATTTCTATATTTTTGTTGTTGCTGTTTTTTATAAGCATGTTCAATTCATGATGAGCTTAAAATATATGTCAAGGAGACAAATTCCGATAACTGCACTGAGCTGTACGGGAAACTTTTCCTTTTTTTTATATTACATGGTATATATTGCAGTCAAACTATACAATAGTCCATTTGAAAGCAGACTGGTCCATCACCCTTGATCTCAGCAGTGTCAATCCACTTGTTTGTTGCTCACCAAGTTCAGATGGCAGCCTTCACACTCATTTTACCAAACAGATCAGTTAAATCTGGTTTTAATCAAGACACACCTGCCAAATATGAACACTCCCTAAAAGCCAATAGAGTCCAAGAGCTGCTGATTTGGACCTTGTTGACTTTAATAGGGTATATGCACAGCTAGTGTTTTTCAGCTAATGATGAACCTCCGCTGATAGCTTAATGTGACTATTTTCAATTTCATAAGGCTCCTTTTCCAGCATCGATGTTGTAATGTAGCTAAAATACATTCAGTTAAATAGACTTAGGCATTCATTTAGTTGTACAATGTAAAATGTGATGGAAGACGTCAGGATCGCCGTCAGGATCAGCAGGCAAGCGCAGAAACTCCATTGAAAATACTGGGGTAAAATAAACTGTTGTATTTTAAAGACATGGTGGGGAAAATGGAATTTAATGCAGTGCTTCTTGTTCGGTCTGAGACCCACTTCATATCGTATATCTATCAGGCAGTGAAGATCACTGATTTTTAAAGAAATCAGACCCTAAACGTGGTAATTTTACAATGGAAAGACATTCTACCGGAAGCGCTGAGGCTGGCTGGCTGAAATTAAAAGTCTGCGTGCATGTAACCCCAAATAAGTTCTGCTAAAGATACAAAATTATAAAGGCTTTTTTAGTGAACTATCCCTTGATGCTTATTGTCGCTTTTTATAAGGGTCCAAAACATGAAAGAATTCTGAGAAGAATTGTGAGAAAGATCATGAGAACTGTAGTATAGACTAAAGAGTGTAGGCCTATCTACTAAGCGCTATGCATATTTCTCATTGAAAAAAAATAACTTGTGAGATGTACAGATGTCAAGACACGGGAAACATGTAGCAACAGCTTCAGTCACAGATTTGACTTTTGGATGTGATGTCAAACCACTTCCACAACAGCGCAGCACTATGATGTCAGCAAAGGCTCAAGCAGGAGCATTCAGACTGATTTAGTTTCCCATGTTGCATTGCATGCTACAACATAAACGGCTGCAGATCCAAAGGATTTCAAGAGTTTTTTTTTCTTTGATATAGTTGGCCATATAAACAAAAGCTTCAAGAGGGCTTTTTTTGCCCCACACACCTTTACTGTAACGTGTAGGTCTGCTAAGCAGATGCTGAAACACAGCAGCAGGGCTAGAAACAGGAAAGGAAGACATTCTGCAGAGCGTGCAGCCTTTCTACATCCTGCCCCGCTACGAGTACGGCCACATGCAAAAAGCTGTGCCTCACGGGTAACAAACAGCAAAAGGCCTTTTTGCGCACCAAACAACGGACCACTGCACATAACATGCATTTTAGCATGCATATCTGTCTCAAGAGTCCCTAATACCATCATTAAAAAGGCTGTGTTTTTTGTGTGCTTCATCAATAATGAATAAGACACGCATGGAGGCAGCTCTCTGAATAGAGGTTTCAACGGTTTGATGCAAGTTTCCAGCAACTTCTTTCTTCGGATGAGGGATGGTAAATTATGCATGCTCACCGGGACCATTATATGGCACGAATCTAGGCCACTAACCAAAACACTCAGCCTCCGGATAACAACACACACTTACAGGAGATTTTACAGACACTCAAAGCTCACAAATTCAAATGTAAATTTCTATGCACTATAAACAGATCCTACGGTTTATTAGCGTCCTGTGTTATCTGTTGTACTTAGAAGTAGTGAAAATCTAGGTAAATATACTCAATTTAAAGTTATTTCAATCCTGCATGACTTTTTTTTCTGTGCAAGCCAAAATATATAGTTTGAAAATGTAAGTTTACTATTTACAATCTCATTTTTTTACAAAAGAATAAATTTTGCAAACTCTCCGCGTGGCTCTTTTTAAGCATGAATTTTGACTCAAGATGTTGTGTAATCTCAAAAGATGCAAACATATTACACTTGTCTGTTTTGTTGGTAAAATATAAATTTATAACATGCATATAATTAAAACAGACCACATTTATGATGCTTTTAGAGTGCTTCTCACCATTTATAGCCACTGCTCAGCAGGACCAGGACATTGTTTGAATTAGATTTGTGTTTTGCAAAACAACTAAAGTCATGCAAGTTTAGAAGTAAATATTTACCAAACGTGCCTTTTGTTTAGCAATAGCTTAAAACTAAACTAAAAACTCTGCCTTAAAAAAACAAACAGAGCTTCGACAAGGAAGACAGCATTCTGAAGTCCAAAAATGCTATCTAGGTAGCCAGTTTATAAGGTTTAGATATGTGTCAATGCCATGCTGTATGTTATTGAGGGTTGTTGACATGTGTAAACAATCCATTTTTTGCATTTCAACTCAACTGAATGCACGAATGTTGGGTCAAAATAACAAACAGCTACATGTCAAACACTGGGTGGCAAAGGTTGCACTAATAAATCCCTGTAAGTACAGTCACACCCTGGCAAAACAACAAAACCGTACCCTCTGGCAAACTTCTTATCAACTGTAAAGGATTCGTGTGAAAGGCCGGACAGAAAGTACAGTCGAATTCGCGCTTCGTGCAACTTCGTTCGGGTTCGGCTTTTCGAGTTCGGCGGTACACATCCAGAGGCCTGGGACATCCGCGGCTGATAGTAGCTCGCCCATCCCGGCCCGGAATCAGTTGTGTCGGCACCGCGTCCAGCTCCCTCCGCCTTCTGCCGTGTTTACCGTGAATAAACCGCGACTAATACACTCCAATCTAAGAGATCAGGAGGAGGAGGAGGGGAAGAGGAGGAGGAAGAATCGCTGGCTGTGTCTCACTCTTACCTCTCTTATCCAGATCGTAGCCGACTACAACGAAGTAATCGGCGAGCCTCGCCATCTTTTCGGGATCACGGCGTCAGGCCTCGGGGATGACTGTCTTTCCACAAGTAGACGATATCCTTATTACATTGTGAAGAAAGCGGCGTAAGCAGCATCCCTACAGCACCAGCCCGCCGCCATACTGTCGCTGTGAGT